CGAGGTTTTTCTATTTATTTTTTAAGTTCCTGTTACAATCAGACGTTCATTTACATTTGAACTCAATCTAGATAACTCATTAGTGTGATGTATTCAGTGGCAGATTTACAAGGACGCCCTTCTGGCGATCTCCAAATATCGAGCAAAAAACGTCGCTGTTTTCTAGTAGAAAAACCTTCAAAATGAACTTTTACTGTCTCTAAAGAACTTGGGAACACTTCATGATCATGATGATCCCTATCTCTGTCGAACTGCCTCATGTAATAAAATATTAGTTCTGTCACTGGATATACTGGATTATTATTGAAATACGTTAATTTTTTTTGCTGAAATATCACTAACTAACTTATTTTCCATTTTTTTTGTTAGAGTCGATAAGGACCCATAAAGAGACCTGTATAAATACTTTCGCTACAATTTACAACATTTTTTTATGCTTCTTACTCCAAATGATTTCACATCTATATAAATTGTATAAATTTTACTAAGAGAGTAACCTAATTAAGATCAGGTCGAAAAGTTCCGAACCGAACTGTCTCCATCTCTGGTTTGAACTTTATCCAAACATGGGTTTACTTCATCATCCATTGATGTGCTTGATTTTCTTTCTTTTCAAATTTGTATAGACTTGATCTGTATTGGATCATTATTGAGTAAACAATCATCAATGTCAGAATGCTTCCTGTCTTCGCTATAATCTCTATGAAATGTCTTTTCAATTTGAAACATTTTTCCAGCCTGATATCGACTTTCTTAAGAAGCGGCTGTCACTCTATTTGATTTTCTTCTGCTTAACTAATTATTATGCATTTATTGTTATAACTCTTCTTCGAACAACTATTGGCAGTATATTGACAATTTTGTCGAAGCCGAATGCGACATTCATCGTCAGTTTCTCTAAGAACTGTTTTAGCCGTGCGTCTATGATTAGTTTTCAGACGACATTTTCTTTGCTCCATCGTTTCATATTATCACTTTTCTTTTTCTATTTCGATCGAGGCCTAATCGATTTTGTCTTTGTTCCATTGTTTCGTATCGTCGTGATCATCTAGAATAGCCTTGTTGTTTATCCTGAATATTTGAATCGTCAAGCTTCTTTTCAGTATTCATCAAAACATTGTCATAATTTCCAAGAACAATAAACCAATATCAATATATTTTATTTTATATATTTCACTATTTTTTTATTATTCTCATTTTCCCGCCTGGCAGACACATACACAAATTTGACATATTTCAAACTAATTTTCTTCGTAAGACTCTTTTATGAAACACAAGAGAATAAAATAGGAACTATTTAATCCGATAGAGTAATTGATGCTCTATCCAGCTATATGAAAATAAAAAATCTCTGTTTTTTTGTATAGATACAGTAAACTGCACAAAACTATCAAAAATACCTGAATCAAGCTGTATAAATAATCATCCTGCAAAAGATTCTGAATTCGAGATTACAAATATAGCCCTCAGATTCCTATCTTTTCCTATCAAAGGCTCACATAGAATTTTCATCCACTGCGAAGGCTCTACTTTTTTGGCATCTTAGAGATCTTGGAAAGAACTAGAAGTGACATAAATGTAAGAATTGTTACGAAATACTTTTTTTTTCATAGGAAACCAGGAAAAGACTTCTGAGTTTTTATCTGCAGAAAGAACATTCTCGAAAGTTTTACCAAATTCCCTTCCAAGAAGACGAATATCTCCTTCATAGCTCTTCCTCCCGCGAGAGAGGTCGACCTCTTCGACAATGATGATTCCTTTTCTTTTTTGTTCATTGTAGTAATTCCCAATATTCCTGCCAATGCGCGATGGACACAGAATGGAGTGACCGTTGCTGGAGGCCATGGATCTGGCAGGGCCACCAATCAACTCAACGGGCCTGAAGGCCTCTTTGTTGATGATGATCAAACGATGGTCATCGCTGACTGCTGCAATCATCGTATCATCCAATGGAAGATGGGTGATACGAATGGACAAGTAGTAGCTGGTGGTCGTAACCCAGGAAAGCGATTGGATCAATTGAAATATGCAACCGATGTGTTGATCGACAAAGAGACGGATAGTCTCATTATTTGTGATTGGTGGAATCGACGAGTCGTACGATGGTCTCGTCGTAGTGACACAACTCAAGGAGAAATCCTCATCGACAACACGCGTTGTTATGGATTGGCCATGGTTGATCAGAGATATCTCTACATCTCTGACGACAAGAAACATGAAGTAAAACGATATCAAATAGGAGGCAAGAATGGCACTATTGTGGCTGGTGGTAATGGCAAAGGTGCTGGTCTCAATCAACTCAACGGTCCGGCCTACATTTTTGTCGATCAACAACAGACTGTCTACGTGTCAGACTACTACAATTATCGTGTGATGAAATGGGATAAAGATGCAAAAGAAGGAATTGTCGTCGCTGGAGGCCAAGGCCTAGGGAGTGCTCTGGCACAATTGTCGAATCCTCAAGGACTGTCCGTCGATACATTGGGTACCATCTATGTGGCAGACGAGCTGAATCATCGAGTGATGCGTTGGCCTAAGGGAGCGAAAGAGGGCACTGTCATTGTGGGTGGAACTGGTGAAGGAGCAAGAGCAAATCAGTTCAAATTACCCGTTGGTTTGTCCTTCGATCGACATGGCAATCTCTATGTCGCTGATTGGGGGAATCATCGTGTTCAACGATTTTCAATCGAATACACTCATTACGATGAATTTTCTTTCAAATAAATCACATTTGAATTGATCAAAGCAATGATTATTCTATTGGCGCTCGCAATCAGGCACCACCCCGATGGAGCCGTGGTGAGCGTAATGCTCATGCATGCACGGGTATGGGTGTGGGTGTGGGTGTGGGTGTGGGTGTGGGTTAGTGGCGGAGCCAGGGGTGGGCCAGAGGGGGCTCAGCCCCCTCTAGAAACCTTTGAGCCCCCTCTAGGATGAAAACGATTTACCATTAAATCGGAGGAGTATGAGTGAAAAGCGCACCATTTGTACCGTTCGCGAAAAAAAATCAATAAAAATAAATCTAATGATAGAAAAAAACCAAGTGTTGTGTTGAATAGAGCTACGTCGAATGTATATGAAAATACTATTTTCCATGCACTTCCCTGTAATATGGTGAAGATTCACAATATTATCAGCGGGAAAGGCGGAAAACGTACAAAAGGAAAATGTAGAATAGTCAAAACGTCGAAAAAAAACAGAAAAATGTCGAAAAAAAACAGAAAAATGTCGAAAAGTAAAATGTAGAAGATGAAAACAGCGAAAGAGAGAACATCGAAAAAAGAATGTAAAGAAGGAAAATATCGAAAGGAAAAGATCAAAAGGATAACAGCGAAAAAGTTCGAAAGAACGCGATAGAATACCTAGAGGGTGAGGATGAGGGGTGACGATGATCGTGAGAAAGACGATTTGAAACATTGAATGTTAGCTTCAACGGCGGCGAAATAAATTCAAAAGAGCTGTTGGCTAGATTAACTTTACTGATCGAACGACAAGAAAAATAGCATAAACATGTATTTGTGATTTTATTATTATTTCTTGTTTTTTCTATATATTGAAATAAAATGTCTTCTTTTTTTATCAGAATCATAAGAATTTCATTTTCGACATTTCGTATTTCGATGTTTTCCTTTCGATATTTTCCTCTCTCCTGTTTTTCCTGTTCGACGTTCTTCCTTTCGACATTTCACCTTCTACATTTTTCTTTTCGTCATTTTCCTATTTTTTTTTCGACGTTTTCCACCAAACCCTTATCAGCTAAAAAGGCGTCTTACATACACGTAGGATATCCTAGGTCTGGATTCGAGTATTTCCTGTCGCGATTCGCGACACGCCCGATTCCAACTGAGTT